TTTATATAAATAAAAATGCAAAAGTGCACAAAGAACATATTTACTTATAAAAAGGTGCACAAAATTGTCTTCAGTGGGGGAATCTTTCTTTGTGCACAAAAATCTATCATTTTATACAATGGGAATCTTTCATACCCTGGTCCTCGGCCATCTGAGGGATTTTCTGTCTTCATTTTCTACATCTTCTCCAACTAAATTGTCTTCAATGGGTATACCTGAACCGAAAAGAAGGGGAAAAGTTGAAACATTATGCATCAGGATGTAGCAGGCCTTGGTTGGTCCCTGCTAAACTTGTGAGGATTTTTCTTGGCAACATCGGCTGTAAGCATCCAACCATTGAAACATTATGCATCAGGATGTAGCAGGTCTTGGTTGGTCCCTGCTAAACTTGTGAGGATTTTTCTTGGCAACATCGACTGCAATCATCCAACCATTGATGATCTGAAAGCGCGAAAAATGAAATCAGTTTCATATTATTTTTTTGAGGAATGAAATGCCATTTTAAGGTAGCAAAACTACACATGCCCGATTGAAGTATCACAAATAAGACCTTAAAAAGTTGGTTTTAGTTTCACTAATACCACCACCAATAGATGAAAGCTCTAAATAAACAACTGAAATATGGGATTTGTGATTTTGAAAATAATTTGATTGTTTGACTTAAGTTGAATAAAAAAGTTGGTTTTAGTTTCACTAATACCACAACCGATGAAAGCTCTAAATAAACAATTGAAATATGGGATTTGTGATTTTCAAAATAATTTGATTGCTTGACTTAAGTTGAACGTTAAATGGAGCGTTTTTGTGATTCACATCCAAGAAATCATCAATGGCACCTTACTTACCATCCCGTTCATTTCTCTTAGAACATGTACAATGCATTGAGTCTAGTCTTGCCTATGTGACATGTAAATAAACCCAAGTCTAGACATGGATAAAATTATGTAAAATCGATAAAATCCACTCCAATGCAAAGAGACTAGGTCTCTACTTGGGTCTAATCGGGTCTCAGACCCAGTCTACTTTTGTTTGGATTGGAGATAACAATTTTTTAGACTAGGTCTATTTCTTAGATGGCATACAACTTTTTCTGATTGAACCCAAAGCATTGTGGATGCTCTTAGAGTGGTACTAGCAGCCTCCTCACTGGTGTAGTCCAGAAAGGCATAGCCTTTGGACCTTTAGGAAATCTTGTCCATTATGACTTCAACTGGTGGTTGGTGGTTGGACAGTTGAAGAGAAGTAGATGAACAAATTGACTCGTATACTGTCAAATTTCTAAAAGGGGAACAATTTCTTGTTAGGCTAGGGTCTTTTTGTACCTTCCACAAGTTCACCGAAACCTCCAAATGTTGCTCGTAAGGTTTTCTCAGATATAGGACAGACTGCAGAGGCAGATAGAAACTTGGAAACTGCTTTCAGCTCGGCTGATGAATACAAGCATTATATTAAAACACTTTGCTCGCCACTACAAGAATGGGAAAGAAGTAAAAGAAAATTGAGCACCCTTTCCTCAGCAACCACGGTTTCTAGAGGAGATGGTATTATCAATCAATCAATCAATCAATCAACAAGCCGTTAAAATCCCACTAAGGGGGGTAGGCTATATGGATCACGTGCTCGATCAAAACACATATCCTCATTCAAGTTTAAATATTTTACATCATTTTTTATTGTCTCTTTCTAAGTTTTCTTAAGTCTACCTCTATCCCTTTTAAGTTGTGGCTTAATTCTAATGTTTCGGTGAGAAGGGCTTGAAGTCACCTAAGCACATGCCCAAACCATCTCATGAGCGCTACCCTAACTTTATTTCTAATACTTTCATTTCTAATCTTATCTAACCTAGTATGCTCATTCATCCATCTCAACATACTCATCTCTGTCACTCGTATTTTTTTATCATTTTCATATTTAGTAGCCAAACACTCGGATCCATAAAGCACAGTCGGTCGAAGGGCCGTTCGATAGAACTTGAGTAATGCTATAGGTACATAATAATGTACATAGAGGTGAACATAACACTCACATTGAGTGGTCCTACCAAAAATAAAAAATTAAGTCGACCCCACTCCATGTGAGTGTTATGTACACCTCTATGTACATTTATTATGTACTTGTAGCATTTTTCCAGATAGATAGAGATGACGTCGCTGAATCTCCCCATCGGTTGGAAGAAGAACAAGAGTAAGTTAAATTTGTGTAAAACTTTCTCTATTACTTATGACAATTGCTTGCATACAAGTTCGTTTCAAGATCCAAAGAGGAGCAAGTTTATTATTGTGGAGCAGCACCCAAGTATAGAAAAATGGAAAGTCCAACCTTGCATCAATGAGAAAGAGAATAAAGTGGGCTCTTGACAGCACATCTTCTGTCATGGCAGCAGTTCTCCCAAGAACAGAACCTGAAGACGCCTCTGCCTCCAGGCCAGCTGAGTCCAGAACACGAAACCGCAAATCACCCAATTTAGCAACACCATCCCGTATGTCACGTGTGACATGGTCATTAGGGGTGTTGTAAACAAGAGCCTCCCTCCTCCGAATCAAACTGCAACACCAAAAGCCCAAGTTCAAAATTACAAGTGTTGAATCACACACACACACACACACACACACAAAAAAAAATCTGTTGGGAATATACTGGGTATGTTGTTGTTGTTGTTGTATAAATTTGACTTCCAATTGTGATACAGAACATGATATTGATTTCAAGAGTTAGAAGTAAGGGTTCCAGGACTATAATGCCAATAAGATCAAAACTAACCGGTTAAACAATGCCGTTTTCCAACATTTGGACGCCCTATGATAAGGACGGTCGGGAGCTTCTCAATAGGAATTTTGGTGAAATCGATTGTTTTCCAAGATATCGGTTTTTCTTTCGGCTCGTCATAATCAGAGTGATCAGCGATTTCTTGGATTTCTTTCATTTCTTTGTTGGGGTCCTCTGATGGTGACAAAACAACAGGACCTAACAAATCATTCTGGACTTCATGCTCCGGTATTGTGCATAAGTTTGCTGCAGCTTGACAAACACGTGAAATGGGTGTACAGATTGACCCCCATTTGACCGCACTGAAAGGTGCAACTCCCACGCGATATAATATTGTACCCCCCAAAACAAACTAAAAAAAAATGAAATTTTTAATAACAGGCTAGAGCCACAACAATATTGTTATAACCAAAACAGATTCAGATTTCAGACACAACGAGTGTTTCAAAGCTCTAGAATGAAGTGAGCCGCGAAAGTTGCATACATTTTTCTGAACTAAAAGCAAGACATTATTATTTTCCTCTTACGCAAACAATAGACATAAAATCAGGCGCCCATTTTGCAGCTAAATAAGATGTGCAAGAAAACACTTGAGCTATTTCTTTACCATGTTTTGTAGCATTCAAGAAGACCCCATTTCCATTTTTTGACAATCTGGAGATCTGATTAGGTATAGAACTCGGCGTACTAGCGTTTCTTGAAAGTAGACAAAGTGCGTGGCAGTATTTTTGGGCTGAAAAAGCCCGAAACCATGAATGGAACATTCCAAAGCTAACAATTTTCAGATAGGAGTGGTGCCAGGTCTATTTTCACGCTAGCGGATTTCGCCTCCACCAATTATTCAGCTGCGCCATCAGTAAATACGATAGTGATTGACATTTTTAAAAACAAAATTACAACAGGAGCCATCATAATGGAAGACTTTTTAGTGCAAATGCAACTAAAGGGTTACAGAAAGATCGACTCATCGACTGGAAGATGCGGCAAATGGGGTTTAGGGCTCTTGAAATATGTCAAAACAGGCTGGCCCGCAGTCCGCCAAAACCCGCCGTTTGGCGATGCGGGCCGACGGGCCTGTGGTACCAGCCTCGGGCCGGCCCGCTGAATATTTAAAACTAAAAAACAAAAAAACCTGGGATAAAAAAAAGTGGAAGCCAATAAAAAGAGGCAATCAAAAGACCTTAGCCCTAAGAGTCAAGATGATCTTCAAGAACAAGAAAATGAAGGAAGTCGGCAGAAAAAGTTGAAAGGAGATTCAGAGGAGGTGATGGTGGCCTGCCCTAAATGGTCCCAAAACCCCCCAATGAAGACTGCAGTGTGGAATTGCCGAAGTGTGGATGGCTCCTCGACAGTTTACCAAATCAAGGAAGTCTGGAGACTCCATCACCCCACTTTTCTGTTTTTATCTGAAACAAAAAAGAAAAAAACTTTTTTAAGTACTATTTGTAAAAATTTTAGTGTTAAAGAGAATTGGACTACTGTGGAGCCTGTGGGCAAAAGTGGTGGTCTATTTCTCTGTTGGGACACAAATGAACATTTTTTTGGCTTGGTTAAGCAATCTTTTTGTTTAGAAGTGGAATTTTGGGATGAAGATAAAGATTTAGTATGTTGGGGAATTTTTGTGTATCTGAGTACAGATGGGCAGGAAAGGAAGGAGCAGTGGGAATATCTGAATTCAGTCAAAGCCAACAGGGGTAGATACTGGTTCATGACTGGAGATTTCAACGACATTACTCACCCAGATGAAGAGGGGAGGCAGATTAAGAACCACTCAGTCTTGTAGGCCTTTTAATACATTCATTCAAGAGATGGAGATGATGGAAGTGGGGTGGAAAGGATATTACTTTACCTGGGGAAACAACAGATCAACTGAAGGTTTTATTGAAGAGAAACTAGACAGATGGTTTGGTTCATATGAGTGGAACTCCAAGTATCCTGAGGCTCAAGTTCAAAACACTTTCCAAAGTGCATCAGATCACAGTTTATTGTTGCTGACTACTATTCCTGAAACCCAACACAAAAGGAGGAGATTTCAATTTGACAAACGATGGCTCCAAAGGCATGGGATTCATGAAGTTGTAACAAGAGCCTGGAATCAACATCAGCAGGGTGTAACACCCCGCTCATCAGAGTAACTTTCTTGCAACTTTTACTTCGAAAATACTTATAACTCTTCGAAATATTTTGCGACTAACTCGAGATGCTACTCAAACTCATCTTCTTGAAAATCCGTTTATCTTTAAACTTTTTTTCTAATACTTCTCTAGACATAAAGAAAACAGATTTTCTTTAAACTTACATTTAACTGTACCATATTCATACTTCTCGAAATGGTAAAAACTTGAAATCTGAAATTTATTAAAAATGCAAGTTCAATACTTTATGTGCATAGCGGAAATACTTAAAAATGTGGTTTATTATACAGACATATCAAATACTTAATAAATGTCCACATGAAATAAGTGCACGACCATCACCACCACATCTCGAGCTCACACCTCCGCCCCGACCCTATTACCTGAAAAACACAATGGGGGTGAGTACTGATCCTCTTGTACCCTGAAATCACTCATACTAAAGTAAACAGCAATAATAATACAATATCATGATCTTTGGTATATATCTGGACTGGAAATCTGTTCTAGTAACTTAAACTGAATCTGGCCGATATCTGATCGGATACTTGTGCACAATCTGATGGATATTTCTCAAGGCAACTCAAACGGCCTCCATCAGAACTTAGGATATATTCTGAGACAACTGAATGCCTCCTCATCCCAAGCGTATAAACTTAAACTGTATACATACCTCGAACATGATATCAATATTATACTCAATGTAATACCCAGTCTGGGTCCCCATCTTTCTTCCTTTGAAAATTTTTGAAAAATGTAAGTGTTGCTCTTGGGTAGCTATATCTGCAAGCTACATAAAAATATAAACAAATATACTAAGTACTATGCTCGTATACTCAATAAGATTTAACTCTTACTTATCCGAATCTTAAAGATATTCAATAAGCTTAATATGTCTCAAATAAATATTAAGTCATCAAACATCTTAACTTTTCTTAAACTTTTACTCAAGGTTAATCATGTTTTCAAAATCATAGATATTGGTTTATACTCGCATGTCACTTAAATAACTCGAATGTGAAAATAACTAGATTTCACATTAAACTTGATTGAATACATGAACTCAAAACATGCTTATCTTTTACCAACATCATATTCATGATTATAAACTCATCTTAACTTAACTTGATCTTTTACTCAATCAAATACTTAATTCACCATACATCATATCTCCCAATTTTTAGATATTGACTTATACTAAATTTTCACTTAATTAACTTGAAAGTGAAAATAAACTCAAGTCATACTTCAACATTTAATCATGATATTAATATGTCATATTTAATACAATCTTTATAAGATTATATATTCAACATATTAAACTAAAACGTTGCCAAATTGTTCATCACTTATATGAGAATTGATCATAATAATCTCACTTTAATAGAATTTAAAGTCATAGTGAACATAAACTTCATCTTGCATGTTCAACTTAAAAAATTCATAACTTAAGCTATACTATGCCAAATCACTAAATTCTTGTTCTCATGTACTCCTCTTTTACATAAGAATCATTCATTTAAATCATACTTTTCCAGCTTATTCATATCTTTATCAACATATCATCAAATCAAGCACATATATCATATAATTGATCTTGAACAACTTTAATTCTTTGTATTCATAGAATCAATTATAATCTCAACTTCTAAATCATGATATACATACTTATAAACATGTAAACTCATTATCAAAACATGAACATAAGCATGTAACGTTAAGATAAATAAATTACCTCATTCTTGCTAGAGTAAAACTTGATTCTTTACTTCAAATTCTTCACTTCTCCACAATTTCTACTACTTATCCTCTCTTACAAACTTATATAACTTTTGGTACTTAACTTTGGTGTAAAAACTCTGAATTTTAGGCCTCTATTTATAGGCATAAATTGGCAAGACATCATAATGGAGTGAAGAAATGAACATAATAAACAATTTAAACTTATAAACTTAATTAATCATAAACTATTTTATGATTAACTTGTATACTCATAAAAAACATAATTAATCATAAAAATGGCCTCTGGTTGAGATCACAATCGGATTCTCAATTATCAAACCTTACTGTCGGTCACACGACTCGTGTGGCATGTCACACGGCTCGTGTGGCTCCACACGACTCGTGTGACTTGTCACACGACTCGAGTGAAAAAGTCGAAGCTAATTTTTTTTTCTTCTCCTCCCACACGACTCGTGTGCCTTCTCACACGACTCGTGTGGATTCACACGACTCGTGTGGCTCCTCACACGACTCGTGTGGCTCCTCACACGACTTGTGTGGCTAGTTCCTTGATCAACTCTTAATTTTGAACCGATAACTGAATATCTTGGCCTCGAAATTACCTAAATCTTGGAACAACGATTGATACTTTATTAATAACTGAGAGGGATATTACACAGGGTACACCCATGTTTTCACTGAAGTCCAAAATAACAAACACAAGGGTGGAATTGCTGAAATGGGCTTCCACATTCACATCTGAAAATGCCAAAAAGATTGAAAGGTTGTCAAGACAACTTGAACATTTGAAGGGACAAGGAGGTCTAAGGGATTGTCAAGTTTGGGATGAAGCAACAAAAGAACTGAATGAGGCTTACAAGATAGAAGAGCAATTTTGGGAACAGAAATCCCGGGTCACATGGTTAAAATATGGAGACAAAAACTCCAAATTCTTTCATGCCACTACAATGCAGAGGAGAAGAAAAAACAAGATCATAAGGCTGATTGGAGAGAATGATGGCATCTGTGAAAGCAAAGATGAACTGGCAAACTGTATAGAAGAATACTTCTCCCAACTATTTACCTCCTCAGGTAGAATTACAGGGGACAGATTATTGCAAGGCATTAAGGCAGTGATTTCAGCAGACCAAAATATTGAATTGATTGCACAAGTGAGTTCAGATGAGATAAAAGATGCCCTTTTTAGCATAAACCACTCCAAGGCCCCTGGCCCAGATGGTATGAATGCTCTATTTTTTCACTCTTTCTGGTCTATTGTTGATGCTGATCTTAGTGAGTGTGTGCTAAGTTTCTTTGCTTCTGGTCAAATTTTAAAAAGCCTTAATCATTCTTTAATCACCTTGATTCCAAAATGCACAAACCCTACCAAAGTTGCTCATTTCAAACCTATAAGCCTATGCAATGTGGTGTACAAAGTGATATCTAAAATTCTTGCAAACAGGCTTAAACCTTGTCTATCTACTTGTATTAGTGTGAACCAATCTGCCTTTGTGAAGGATAGGCAAATCTTAGACAACGTCATAATTTCCAATGAGATCATTCATTTCCTTAAAAACCATAGAACTGGCAAGAAATGCTATATGGCCATCAAATTAGACATGTGTAAAGCTTTTGACAGGGTAGAATGGGACAGTGTGAGAATCATTATGCTGAAATTGGGTTTCAACTCTTTATTTGTGAACTGGATTATGCAATGTATCAAGTCTACCTCTTTTTCTTTTAATGTTAATGGTGAAGCTGCAGGTTATTTGAAGCCATCAAGGGGAATAAGGCAGGGTGATCCTCTGTCACCCTACCTGTTCATCTTGATTTCTGAAATTTTTACACACTTGATCAATAAAGAGGTAGCCAGTGGTCATCTGCAGGGTATTAATATGAACAAGCATTGCCCAACCCTTACAAACCTATTTTTTGCTGATGATACACTACTTTTTGCTCAAGCTGATACACAACAAGCCAATAAATTGTTGAGCATCTTACACTCCTATCAATCTCTCACAGGCCAAACAGTAAATTTGCAG